GCTTATCAATGCATTTTTACCCTTCGAATATATTTGTGATGCAAAAGACATTGTCAGCAAAGAGACAAGAAAGAAGAAAAGATTTGAGCGACGGCGAAAGATCACTAATAAATATAAGAAATAAAATCGGGCCTAAAATACTGCTCTATGGTACACCAGACGTCATACGAACCGAAGAAGAAAACGACGAAGCGATGGAAACTGTTGGTGTATGATTAGAAAGATAAGAAGAGAACCATTTAAGAAGAATTCCTGATATCCCTGCTTTAGACAGCTTTTGAAGAAGAATAAAATGAGGCACGGTGTCGAAAGCCTTTTTGAAAATCAAACGAAATACCGATTAACTTGTTCTTTTTCTTCAAGTTCTGATAAATCTTATGTGTAAGAAGAAGACGAGCGTCTACAGTTGACGTACTAGAACGAAATCCAAACTGAGTCCGATTTAAAAAGTTTGTTGAGGTTAGAAACGAAGACAAACGGCTGTAAACAAGTTTCTAAAACACTTTGCTAACATTAGAGAGTAATGAAATAGGACGGTAGTTCTTGACGAGTTTGTCGGATCTTTCCTTTAAAAGTTATAGCCATAATAAAGAATCATTCTCTTTCGGGGTCTCAGGTAGAACCCATTAGAAAAAATTTCACTTCTCAACAGCTATATATCCATTAAACGATCTTTTCATATGGATCATATAGAAGACAGTGTGCTACCCGACTATGACTATTAAAATGTTTCAGCTCTTAATTTAGAAGCGTCAGTAAGAGCATCACTCCGACAAAAAGACTGAAGTTTGTTTGCGTGCAGCAATAGTAGGAATCTAAAACCAAGTATACGGCAATAATCTCCAATGTTCACTATATTAAAAACCGTTTTCAGAAGTAAGGGTCAATTTCAAATTGTTTATAAGAAAGCACCTCTAATGTTTTTCAGTACCTTTTTGGCGAAAACGGTTATTATGTTCAAAGTAGCTGGAACGTTTCTACAGGTTTTTGCATCATCTAATTTTGGAGCAATTAGATTCCAGAAAATAATGAAAACTTATCTTCAATTCTGAAGGAACGGTTGCCTTGTATTACAGTCTGTAGTTCACTCCTAAACAGAAACCGGGATGTTTCTTAGACAGCCCTCCCCTCCAAAATGTTTTATCCTCCTATATGAAATATTTCAGGAGATGAACCCTACAACTCTTTAAATGCTTATTTTCATCCACAGAAATATTCAACATATTGTGCGCTAGCTTGCAGCGTGGTTCTATTGGAAATTGCTTCAGTTTCAGAAAGACGAAGAAGAATAAACACAAGAAAAATTGTATAAAAGTATTCTACAAAATAATGATGAAACGAAACAGGCGAAAAAGGGCAAGATATTGGAAACATCAGAATTCAGAAAATATAAGCAATGATTATACAAAAAGAGTATTCTAAAATGGTAAAAAGGAAAGTTCCTAAGTCTCCAAATGGTTTTTGTTAGACATATAGCTTAATATATGCAATCGAGAGTGTTGTATCTAAATATGATAACCGTTTGGGCTGCTAACAATTTTCTAAAAACCTTAGTGCTTGGTATTAACAGAGCCATGAGATGTACTGACTAGTGCACTGCACAGGTTCATAAGCTTTTATGATAATGAGATCGATTTTGAGGGAGCTAAGAGTTTTTGAATATCGAGCATTCAGCTATATGAAACAGAATTTTAAGCGGATGTACTATCTTATGAAAACGTCGTAAACAGTCTCCTCGCGCATTATAATATAAACAAATGTATACAATGGCTACCTCAAGGTAGATCAAACAAAGAAATTGTGAAATGTTCTCAAATTAAAAATGAAACTTTTGTCTGACCGGTTATGTGACTCTGCGTGGACTTAAATTCCATTTATGATTAAATCCGTGAGATTTCATAAAACTTCAGAAAGTTTATTATACTGAAATCAATTGGTTGGTGGAGAAGAATTTTTACTGCATAGATAAACGTTGTTAATGACACCAGACAAGAAAAGAAAAGACAAGACCTCTGCAATAAACAATATCTTATGCAAATCCTTTTCCAACTGATTTATACAAACTTTTAATATGAAAACCGTTGTATTTTCCAGCCACTGTCAAACACATCCACATGTTTGGACATGGATCAATTATATCCAAGGATGTGAAGAATCATCAATGGCAAGATATAAATAGGAACAAGAGAAACAACGTAAGACACGACCAAACAAGACAAGAAATGTAGGCAATGATTATCGATTAATTGAAGCAAAAAAAATTATTTCGATGGCAATTTAAAGTTGGAAATTTTCCAGGCAATATTACAATCATTAAGTTATCCCTATATGAACATCCCTGGCAATGATTCTGAAGAAAAATATGACAAGAAATATACACCTAATGTACATTTATATTGTAATCTATATTTCTTTTTGTATATATGATTCATATATACTATTTCTATATAATCTTAATTAGCATGACTAATTTCGTAAAATTTTCTATTCCGAATTGAGCTCACTATTTTAATCCAATTAATAACTGTCAACAAAAGAGTAGCCTCATTTCGGAAGCCTCGTTGGTCTCTCATCTCGATGTGTGTAAGTCAAAATTGTAGAAAAAATCACTAAGAAAGGATCATGGCTGTGTTTTAACTCTTCGTGTTTTTGTCAGTATTCATATAAGAAGTAAAAACATCGCGCATATGATGGATCATTGTTTGTCTCATCACAATATTTGATGATGATCAACGATAATTTAGCTAAACTTATTTCTTATACTTTTCCTCATCAACAGTAGCGCCATAATTTTGATTATCGCCGAGAGTTATATCTAAGGAAGTGAAGCAACCCGAAAAAGTTAAATAAATGCATTTTTTTTCTATTAAAATTTGCATGAGTACTATTCGCGCCTAGAGCTTTCATATGTGACGCCAAAGAACCCCGAAATCTTTGAAAATGCTTTTAACAAGGGACGGCAGAAAATAGCAGAAATGTAAGAAATTAAAATACTAGACTGGTAACTAATTGTTATTTTTCAACGCAGCAATGATTTTTAAGACTGTTTTTGTCTCACGTCAGATATCAAAGAAGAAGAAGAAGCTCTCTTTGGGACTTATGAATAAAGTCTGAAATTAATATATGATATTTATTTTTGTATGTTACCTACAAAATGACACTTTAGAAGAAAAACGTTTAATAAATAAAAATTTGGTTTTTCGAAGCTGATTCTTAGAATAAAAATGATTCGATTGAATATTTAGAGTTTTTTGAAAGTCTATGTCTTTCGATAGAACACTAGTTAACCAGATAATAATTGCGTTGTTATGAATAGTGATGTCATCATTAATATTAAAATGAACTTTTGAATTGAACTTGAAAGAGCTATTGCCGCGTTACCCAGACGACCCGTTCAATTCTATATGCCAGAGTTAGAGAGTTAAATGCTTGGTTTAATTGACTTTTTTCGAGCCAGCATATACCGATTCCAATATACGAATTAACCACGTTTCTCTGTTCAAGTACTCTTGTATATTTACGGTTTATCTCAAGCGGTGCTGTCAAAGAAGAAAAATCACGTGAGTTGGTGACTGCTATTTTTCTCGAAATATAGACAATCTAATGACTGATATATCAGAAATTAGTACCTCGGCATGTATATATTTGTATATAAATAGCATCACACAGTTCTCAGAAGTTACTTTTCGAGTTCAGATTAGAACAGAAAAGTGACTTAGCCAAAATACCTTCGAGTTCATAACATATGAGCAGAAGAGTATTGAGACCACCTGATGAGACCGTTGAGCATCGGTCGAAACGCGTCGTGGCATGCTCAAACAAAATCTAATCCGTCCTGTCTCGCAAAAGAACAGGAAGAAGTGACATCTATTTTCTACTGGAGAAAGTGTATATAATGAGTCCAATGTGTATCTCCACAGCAGATGAATGTTAAAAATTTTGATTGCCTGTTGAAAATGGAGTCCCCTTGCGACAATTAATCCAGCGACGATAGTGAAGATAAAATGTCATTTTTTTCTGCACGTGCATATGTGAAAAAAAAACTCGTCTACAGTTATATATAACGTTCAGTCAGAAAGGCACAAAAAGAAAAATGAAGCATTAAATAACGAGAAATTATTAAAAATTAATATGCCACTAAAAAAACACACTGAACGTAAGATCAATGATATTCTTGTTATATAGAACTCTTTAAGACTACGACACGACATTACCGCAAAGAACACTACAGCGAAGACTCGTTTATTGGAAAAGAAGAAGAAATGAGCCTGGTTTTGAATTTTGTATATCATGTTTTGAAACCACAGCGAAGTTATGCAGTTAATAGTCATTATGGGATACAGTTACAGATATACAGTTTATATAATATAAACATGTAATTATTTGCAAACTGCTTATGGTGTTTGACCGGTTTTCCCTTCGGTACACAATAAACTGAAGCTCACTGAGTTAAGCATAGTCACTGACATAAGTATTGGTTTGTATATAATCAGGATTTTTATAGCAGGGTAGTGTGCGAGTGAGTTCGAAACGTAGTTTCACAGAAAACATATTTTCATGGTGCGATTTCTGTAACTGTATCACAGTATAACGATTCACCACATAACTTCAGTCAAGTTTCAAAACATGATGTAGAAAATACGAAACCAGGCTCAATTATTCTTCTTTTCTAATGAACAAGTTCAGTGCTGTCGCGGTCATAAATATTTTATATTTTATATTATTATATTAAATTTATATTATTTTGCCAAAAATATGTTATAAAGTATTGACGCACAGGTAAATAGTATTAGTAAGAACAACAAAATGATGAGTATATATTTGCATTTACATATAATACAGATGGCAATTTTCTGCCGTCTGAGCCGATCTATTCTACATGTTAATTATAAAAACACTGTTTACGTTTGTTGCGTAAATTGATGGCACAAAAGTTCCTTAAATAAAAAAGAAAACTAAAGAAAAACACAAAGAACGAAAAAACAAAACGCAGCGACTGTTCATGACTCATGTGCAATACATTTCAAATTGACTTTATCAAGCATATCGTTTTCCACTGAACATATCATTAAACTTGCAAATTTTTTATTGCTAAGTGTTGTATGCAAATAGTTTTTGATTGAGTTCATCTTGCTGAAAGCACTTTCATTTGTTGCAAGCGTTATTGATAATGATAATAAAAAATTATAAACAGCAGCAAGACGTGGATAAATATTCTGTCGATTTTTTAACATATCCACAACTGTATTCATATCATTGCATTGTTTAATATCATTACGCAACAATTCAAAGTCACTAAGTAATAATTCAGGGTGATTTAAATTTGGAATAATTGCACCTAAATTTGTAGCATCATCAATTGAAAAAACTTCAACACGATCTGGTGTAATATTTGTAAACCATTTTAATTTATTTTTCAATAATATTAAATAATCGTTATAATCCATGTAAAGCTGATCGAGTATTTGTTTAAATAATTTTAAATAAAGTTGTTCGCTAAAAGCAACAGTAAACTGTCATGTAATGACGAGCAACAATACGAAGAACTCCCACAATTTTACTCGCAAATTTGCATTATTTTTTTGTCCCTAAGTCTTATCGTGTATAATGAACAGCAGATTCTGGACTTATGTCTTTTCTTCGTAATCGTTGACGTATACGATGTAATTTATCGAATTACCAGCCATATTAGACACACTATCATACCAAGCAGCGTTCATCATTCTGATTCACTTATCCCTTGACTGGAAAGGAATCGCCAATATCAAATTATTTCTATGAAACAGAATAATTATCTTTCTTGTTCACATTACATTGTGAAGAACATTCTCAACAAGCAACAGCAAGCAGGTGATGATTCTCCCACGAAGTTACGCAGCTGTTCAGCTAGTGTTCTACTTTTTATTGTGCTATCGGTCGTAAGTAACGCTTGCGTGCTACGCGACGGTTTTTCACAGTGTTGATCACTCCCTGTACATATACTCAAGGTGACGGTGAGCCGGAAAACATCAGTGTGACCGACGGGAGTAAATACACACATTTGAACACTGTGTGACGGGCGTGGATACACATATAGTGTGCATAATCCTCTAGCGAACATAGACGGAAGGGAGATGTGAGCGTTGTCTTTGATTCGAAGCGATCCAAGGTCGCTCGGTTGACGTTGTACGAACGACTTTCGATGACGAAGTGATCATTAAGAAAAAACTCCTTCGGTCAGAAGAAAGTTCGATTCATTAAGTTGAATGCTCATCGAAGCAAGCGCCGAAGGCGCGCAGCGAGACAAGAATCGTGTAAATTGTTGCGTAATCGTTCTTGTTTTGTCAAGCTTTTAGCTGCTTACAGTAATTACCCAGCGATTTCTCCTAGTCTGCTTCGGTTTCCCTTAGTTTCTCCTCAAAATCTCTAGTTTCCTTTTATTTGATTGCACATTTCTTCGGTTCTCTTGTAGTTTCGCTTAGTTTATCATAATATCCCTCAGTTTCCCAGCAGTTTTCAGTAGTTTCTCATAGTTTCTTAAACTTAGACGCAGACAAACGAAAACACACATGGACACATTACTTAACCCCTGTGCGTAGACACAAGTTATTAGCGAACAGACAAACAGACACCTCAAGACATAATACGAGGGTGATCGGAAGTAAGAATTTAAAAAATTGGGAATGTGCTTCATTTTCAAAACTGTCGTAGTACCTGCTTGCTCCTGCTTGTTGAGAATGTTCTTCACAATGTAATGTGAACAAGAAAGATAATTATTCTGTTTCATAGAAATAATTTGATATTGGCGATTCCTTTCCAGTCAAGGGATAAGTGAATCAGAATGATGAACGCTACTTGTCTGATAGTGGGAATTACCCCAGTCAGTCATAGTTATTCCAGAAAAGCGCAGGAAACTCTGTTTACGAAAAAGTTTACGCGTTTAGCGAGTTTCAAATAGTAATGCTCAAGAAGCTGCGAGTGTGTAAAAATAAACCGCAGGAAACGCACGTTGCTGTGGAAACAACGACTTTGCACGCGTGTTCCTGCGGTTTATTTTTACACACTCGCAGCTTCTTGCGCTTTATTATTCGAAACTCGCTAAACGCGTAAACTTTTTCGTAAACAGAGTTTCCTGCGCTTTCTGAAATGACTATGATTGACTGGGTGTAAGGTCTTGTTTTAGCTTAACTTGGTTACCGCCTCTACATGCCTAGATATGTCGAATAGTGCTTGGTACTGAAACTATCGCAGCAAACGAATATTGTACTGATCTGTACAACTGTAGATTGCTATACCATACTGCAAGACAAGAAAAATATGAAATAGGTAAATCTAACAGACCAGTAAAAACTAACAACTTTCAGGATGTATATTCTCTTCGTCACTTACTCTAGTAAATAATGGATATGCTTGTCGCATTTTAACAACTCATGTAGAAATAGCCCAAGGTGTTTGTGAGATAGCACCTTTCTAAGGGATTCCACCAAGGATCACGCTAGGATGAATTGTATTCTTTTTAGAATTTTTGAGCAGAAAGATACTTGTTTTATCCTTGTTGAACGGTATCAACCATTTTGCCGTCAAAGCAGTAAAAGCATCTGGATCAGGGGTATTATCTGAATTTGTGTCAGTAACCTATATCAAGTAGTATATATTTGCATCATCAGTAAGTAATAAGATAAATGATCTTCAATAATTTCTTTAAGGACGCTATTATAGGTCTGCCAAATTACTTTAACCTTTCATCGATTTGTGCATCGGTCACCTAGCAAAATTTTGCGTATAAATAATGCGGACAACTCTCTGTCATTTTAAATTGAAGCAAAAATGATTCTTCAACTATTATTATTGTTATTATTTTGCGTCTCATCATTCTGTGAGGAGACAGTCCAGCAGCCTTCACTTTTAAACGTAAATACGTCTAAAAAGTGTCATATTTTTCAATTTTTCAATCGAATATCAAATATAAATCGACACCAACGCATTCATCTCCATCCAACAGATGAGAAAAATGAAACGTTGTTGAATAAAATTTTTATGTAGTATTTTTTGAATACTAACGACAAAGTAAGAAAAAGAATGAGGTTGAAGAAAACGTTACAACCAGGATCGCAAATAACGGGAGGGTGCGCACCTTCCGAGTAACTGAAAAAGCTGTTGTTATTTTGTTCATTATTCTTCGCACAAATTCTTTTATCAGTTTCGCACCACCGCAAAGAGAAATTTTGTTTTACACCCCCTTAATGTTTTCCTCCTATTTGCGATTCTGGTTACAACAGACGATTTTCAAAGTCAAATGGGAAATTCAGCAGGAGTACACGATCACTCTGTTTTCGAAATTGTAGCAAATGTTTCGCAAGATAATTTTTTTTTGGTTAGTACGGAGTTACTGAGTATTTTGAATGAATTTAAAAAATTGCCTATCAGTTTGAATGCAATAAAATGCGTTGCTGAAAAGATGAACCTAACCGAACTTACCTTTCACTCACGCCCCAGCTACGAAGAAGAGACACCAACAACGCAGTGAATGAGCAATGATGGACGATAGACGAAATGATCATTTAAGTGATGTGACTGAAAATGTACTCTGGGAGAAAGGACATTATTCGGGTATAAAACAATTGGAGCATAACGATTTCGTAGAAATAAGCTCATTCAACATCACAGAGTTCAAAAATATTACTTTATAGCCTTGACTTTGTTTTGTTACATGTTCAAAAAAATTGGAATAAAATCGAAGTTGTGTGATCGACTTCGTAGAAGCACGAAGTTTGTTTCAATAGTCCATATCCATGACTGAATAATTTAGTTCTAAATATATAATTTCGTGAATAATGAATGGTAAGATATCTTATAGATTTGACAGTCTGATTTTAGTCAAACGCGGAATTTTTAGCGAATATGAGACTAAATTTTCTCTGTTCAGAGGAAATTTAGCTTAATATTTGCTAAAAAATAACAGAAAAAATATTTAATAAAAGCTGTATGATCGGTTGTAACCAGTTTAGCACTATCTACTGAAAAGCGATTGCGACAGAAATAGAAAAGATACAGATTTCCATCATAGCTCATCTTGTACAAAAATGTGTGCTCCACAAAATCCAATGTTCAGAAAAATTATAATATGCGTACTTTTTTTCATGCGGTCTTTTTCAGAAAAGGGTGAATTATACCGGTTATAATCGGATGCATGCCTGCTGGTTTTTATGGATAAAATAATAAATGAGCTCGGAAAAGAGATATTTGAGCTCGGTGTACTTAATTGGCTTTAAAATGAGAGAAATGAGCTGGTTGTAATAAAATTATATTTTTTTATATACATGAGAGTTTTGAGCTCGGAAATTTATTAATCTAATAAAAAAGAGATATATTTGACCTCGGAAATTAATTTATACTCTGAAAAGAGACAAATGAGCTCGGTATATTTTATATTCGTCGGTAAAAAGGGAGAAATGAGCTCGGTAATTAATTTATGAAAATTAATTAATGATTTTGTGAGTAGTAAAGTATATTTAATAAGAGAAAAATAATTCAACAACAAAAAAGTGCTAGATTACAATAGTTTTTCACCAATATTCAGTCTTTTGTTAAAGCTAATTTAACTTTCTTTGGATGACCTTTTCCCCTTCTTATCCCAAGTACCTGTGGAACTTTACGATGATCCCACATCATTATTAAGCCCAATGAATGAACGCAAGAGTATTCTTTAAGGCCATATTTACATGAGCAAAATAATGGTAGAGTTAAACTAGAAAAATCAACTAAACGCGCAGAGTTTAACCAGTCGGTAAATTCACCATACGAATTCCAAGACATGCTCTGATAATATTGTACCCATAATGATGTACCCATTTTTGGCTCAGAAGAAGGTACAACATAACTAGCTGCACCTACGTGTAATACTTTTGTTCGATCAAGTTTTTGTAACCATTGATATGCCCTAGTTGCCAAATCATTAGTAAATTCAGTTTGAATAGCAAATGGTGTATTCACGCTAGCTAATGACCAGTCATATAATATACGTTCAGCTGTTTGTAAGAACGATGACAATGACAGTTTGTTACGTAATGTGTACATTTGTTTGATTTTACCATTCAACGATTCAAGACCGTTATTAATAGGTGGACTAAGATTTGCACTACCTTCATACCAAAATGATAATGAAAATAACCACTGGTCTTCAAAATATTTTCTAAATGCATCAAGATCTCTGTCAGCAGTCCATTTCATTATCATCAATCTAGCTGCGCTACCAAATAAATGATATTAAAAACTAATTGTAAATTGACGATATCTTTTTCAATAGCCAACCATTTTTCTTTATTTAATACCAATTTTCGATGTTCACGACTCTTACCGATTACGTGTGCCCAACACATAAGTCGGCGTGCTTGTGGTAACTCACACATGGCACTGGTAATGCCAGCAGCACCATTAGCCATAACATGAGTAATATCATATGGTTGTTGAATGATTAGTGGTACACATGATTTTAATACACGAAATAAAGTTTTAAATGTATCTCCTTATTCATCTGTTGATATTAAACATAATCCTAATGGATGAAAATGTCGATTTAAATCTGATGTTCCAAAAACGAGTAAAGGTAATTCATTGTATGTTATTTTATATGTACAATCAATAGCTAATGTAGATGAATATTTACACGCAGATAATAACTGACGTGTAGTAATACAAATAAATATATGATTAATATCAATAGCTTCATAATATGGCACAAATACGTCATGCAATTTATCTGGAGATGGACAATTAAGATATTGGTTACACCATATTTGCAAATCATCAATTGATATTATACTTTTAAGAGTTTTTAAACGACTATACTGAACAATATTTTTAATTTTTGTATCTACGGTTAAACTTGGATGAGTTACTGACACAGCTTTCCTGATTTGTGTTTGTATCATACCTTTATCCGACATTTGGCGAACAGTATCACGAATAGGCGATTTGAGACGACTTGTGTCATTACGTTGATCATGATTATGCGATTCGGATTTAAATACTGTAAATTTATTATTGGATTCTTTTGATTTTAATTGAAAAAGGCAAAGAGGACATTTTCTATATTCCGTACAACGATATGTAGTTGTTTTACCAGCTTGAAAATGCTCGGTACGATAAGTAGAAACTTTATTCTCTTTTGTAAAAGATTCGATATCAGTTTCAGAAGTAGAAGAGAAATATTCGTGCCAAGTTCGGCGAGACATTATGAAAGAACAGATTTAGTTGAGAATGTACTGATCGGACACGCATACAGACTTTTATAGCTATTTGAGTATCAAAAGCTCATCGATTGGAATAAATGTGTTTTGATCACCAAAAAAGTGACTTTTGATCACCAAATTTATTAACAGTGAAATGATCACCAAAAAATAAGACTTTTGATCACCAAATCAATTAAAGAAGTTTTAATTAA